GATCATTTTTTTTTTTTGTACAGGGACCTTCCGGTTTCCGGATCCACAGGGGAACCGACTAATCCGGAATCGAGCCGGGTAGGACCACAAGGACAGCAAAGCTCTCCCTCAAAAATTTTAACAGTGCTAAAAATATGCTGAAAATATCTTGATGGGGCCAACTAACTTGAAAATTGTCAGGGATTGGAATATGAGAATTTATATCTAGTATAATAAATATTAGTGGGTCCATCACTCAATTGGTCCTTAAATAATCCCATATGTTACTCGGAGAATCTCCAATGTAGTGGAAATTCTATTGTCAATTGAAAATAATAATAATAATAATAATAATAATAATAATAATAATAATAATAATAATAATCTTTAGGAATGTATGTGTAGCAATGTAAATGTAGAAGTAAAGTAATAATTGTAGTCTAAAAGTGAATAAATGATTGCATTACTATTTTTTTTATTAAACAATAACTATTTCACAAATATGCATCATAACAGCTATTTGTTGATAATTGCAGTGTACGAATTTATCAAAAATAAAATTTTTAAAACATGATATGCAATTAATTATGTGTTGATGAACGGATCCGATAAACGGTTAAAATAAAGTTTAATAAAGATTAAAAAGAAAGAATGAGAAAGATATACGATTAAATTGGATTCTATTACTTAATTGCGAGGTCGGCCTCTGATAATGAGGTCGTCACTTTTCTTACACTTGGGAATAATTACGAGAATTTGTTACATATTGTAAAGTAGTAGTTGATGATTTCAACACTCACAATAAATGGACTGGGTCTTCTATTTATAACATTTCTAGATTCAGCACTGTTCGGGTTGTCACTTGTCTTGTCGTACAGTGTTTCTGCAGGGCATGTCGGCGTCGCTCTCGCAGTTGTTAAATGCGATTTGAGGTTTTCTTTAATCATTATTGTCATGCATTTAATGCACATATGGGGGGCATTTAATGCTGACAGACCTTTCTGTCGGGTTAGATCCTATAGGATAGTAGACTAGGCAGGTACATCCCGTCGAAAATCATTAACTGCCAAGTGGTATTATTATATCAATTTCGATCACCGCGCTCGTTCGGGGGCCGGTCACGGGGAACTTTCAGATCGGCTCTTGAGCGTTTGCTTACTTCCCGATCTCCAGGAATCCAATCATCAGCTCGGCAATTGAGGAGGCCGACCCCCACCGCTGGGTGGTCGAGGTGTCGTTCTCGAGGATGACATCATTTGTCATATTTGTTGCCCTAACTTCTCGTTCAGCTCGGCACTTTGCAATTATCCAAGATATCGGTCCGAGTTTAGAGGTTGACTTCTCCCAGTTCGCTCCTGGCCAACTCAGATATCAACATACAAGCCCCATAAGCTTGGACGGGAGTCTTCAGCATCTCTTCCAAGGTCGTCTTCTCATACATGACCCGAGTTTGTCTGGTTGTATTTCAGTCTTTCGCTTGCGAGGTTGGCTCCCCCACTTAACTTGGAAGAAATTACTAACATGGTCGTGCATTGATGACGTAATTTGAAGAGGCGGGCCATTAAATGCGATGTTGTCGTTATATTTATTGTAGGTTCTGAAAAGGCGTGTCGTTTCGACAACTGCTTGTGTGGCAGACACGTGGCCGCATCTGGGCCGTTTATCTCCACGCGTCGTGTCTGTTGGATGGGGATCGTAATACCTCCACGTCGCGCCTCCGTGGTCGTTTCTCATCCGTTGGATCAAAACTTTGCGACCGTTGAATCAGAACATTTGCGAATTTGCTAACAATTTCTGCCGCCCAAAATTTTAAATTTTATGAAAAATTACAATCAAAGGTAGCTATTAAAAATTTAAGCGGGAATTTACTCGTCATTTCAAGTAAATACCTCCCCTTGTTTTATAGTAATAGATTAAATACAACCTAAGTACATTATGTTTTATTTCAGAAAATAAATATTTGTTAGAAAAATAGATTGTCTCACTCTATAAACTAGATTATTCGATTAATAAGTTTGTCCAACATTTTGTCTTTATCCATATAATTTAGCTTTGTTCATTGGGGTATAATCACAAGGATCGAATCTTGCTTTTGATATGAAAAAACTTTATGGCTTTATTCTTTGGAATAATCTCATCCTTTTTCCTTTTAGAAGATCCTACACCAACTTTATGGCTCCTACACCAGCTTTAGATTAAAATGGCTGTGAAAAATAAAATCATTTTAAATCATTTGCTCTATATATCTACTATAGGGTAGAGATTTCATTCCAATAAGATAAAGAAAATAAATAATTTACTAACTCTAGTAAAGAAAACTAAAAATTAAATATTTTATTAAGTTTATTTGTGTTATATTATACTCTACATAAACATATCAATACAAAATAAAATTTAAATACAATTGTAAATCTTTTTCATTCACACTTCCATACAAATGAATATTATGATTGACATTTCGAACAAGCCAATGCAATATTTATAGGATAATTTTCATCTTGAAAATTTTAGAATTATTTAACAGAGTTTGTGTACACTTTGTCTAAATGATACATTAAGATAGATAGAGGTAAATCTAATTTAAAAGAAAATTAAAAACTAAGAGAAAAGTATGGCATTGTGAATATTACCAAACTATATGTTGCCCAATATTATTCACATTTTTAGAATAGTGAAAAAATACAATCTCAGAAAATTAAATACAATCAGAGTAAGTTTTTCGCACAACTAATGGTGGAGTAGAGGGGCATTGAGGAGCAACACTGATATTGGCCTTATTTGGCGATCAGCGGATAGCGGATAGCATATTGTATTAGATGATAGCGGATTATATTAGCTGATTTGACTAGCGGATTGCATTAGCGGGTTTTAAATAAGTGTTTGGTAAATAGCTGAAAGCTTATAGCTGTTTGACATTGCAAATTACCAATAAGGACATTTTATTATTTATGGTGTATTCTTTTAATAATAATATATTAAAACATTTAATATTTTTTAGTTGGTAAATTATAAATATATATATATGTTTTTTTAAAATTTACTAACACTTGATTAATAAGTTATGAATTTTACATTTTTCTAGATAAATTAATCATATGAATGACATATATTATTATTTGTTAGTATCATAAACCAATGTAGATTGTAAAATAAATAATACAAATTAAAAAGTTTTAAATTAAAATTGTAGATTGTGAATCCTCTATCCCCAAAAAGCTCCTCTAATGAGCTTTTTCTAAATTAGAGTTTTGGGCCTAAAAAGCTTATCAAATAAGCTATTTACCAAACAAGCTCAATAGCGGATTTGACGGGTCAAACCTCTCAATTAAGTCAAATCCGCTAATTTATCCTCAATCCGCTATCTTCCAAATGGGGCCATAGTTTCAAGTGAAACTTATCAATTAAAAAATTGAAGTTTCACTAATTAAATGAAAAATTTATTGTTTTTATTTTAAATCCTGCATGTCTAATTACCACTTGGCAAGAAACAATTTATTCATAACAAGAAACAATTTTTTCTTAGCTTGTGTTTTTTTTCTTTTGTCTTGTTCTGTAGTAGATTTGTGTTATGGTTTGGGCTCTTTGCCTTTGTGTCAATGTCTTGTGTTTTTTGTTTGGGTCGTTGACTCATGTGAGTTCGAGTGTGAACTTATTATCATGTTTGGATCCACACTCGACATTATCTCGTTGGGATCGTTTCGTAGTTTTTTTAGTATGTTTCTTGTAGTGTTGTGTCGTTTGAGTTGCTTTTGTAGCGTTGTTAGTTTAGAACTTAGACGATCTTCGAATTGTCTTCTTAGTTTTAGGTCTTTGGTTGTACTTATCGGTTGTTGGCTGCTTTCTTTTCGCACTTTGTGCAGTTTTAGTTATCGGGGAAAAAAAGAAACAATTTATTCATAACCTACATTTTGTTTTTTGTTTTTTTTTTTTTGGGGTAATTCTTTATGTCCAATTACCACTTTAGTCATGGAGGCTTGAATATAGAAAAGAATTGTGGGCTCATTAGTTTTATGATCCTTACCATCCACTGGCACTTTTAATAATATACCCACATAGTTTTATTTGAAAATTTCAACCTAGACCTTTTTTAATCGTACTCCAATATTTTTTTTTTGAACTTGTTAGATCAACATTCTTGAACAATAAAAATCGGTGAGAGTAAGTAGAGTTGAATATACATGACTATTAATTACAAAAGTCTCAAATTTAAACCCACTAATGTTTGATTCTGTGCACATGCTTAAATATTTAAATTATCATAAATTATATGTATGTATATAATATTAAAAATATAAATTAGATAACAGTATATCACATTCTAAAAATTTTGCCAGCAGTAAAATTGAACATTATAAAAATATTCAATTTAATCACTATATTGATTGCATAAAATAAAATGGATTATTAGTTTTTATCTTAGAGATCATAACCTATTAATTATCCTAAAAATTATTATTATTTATTATTATTATTATTATTATTATTATTATTATTATTATTATTATTATTATTATTATTATTATTATTATTATTATTATTATTATTATTATTATTATTATTATTATTATTATTATTATTATTGTTGTTGTTGTTGTTTACGAAATTTTATGATGTTTGGTTATACCACTAAAGCCAATTAAAATGATAATTGAAATTTGTAAGATGTAAGCCAATTAAAATGATAAATATGTGTTATTTAATGTTTAGCCAACAGTTATATAAATATAAATAAAGTGTTATTCATGCAAACATAAATAAAGCCTGATAGATATAAAAACATAAATGGATGAATTTTATTTTTTTCTTACAAAAATGTATGATGGATTTGTTTTAAATTAAAAATTTAAGACTATACTGCAAGATTGAAAAATAAATGGGTGAATAGTATATTTTTTTATTTGGAGACAGAAAAAAAAAAAAAAAANNNNAAAAAAAAAAAAAAAAAAAACTTCAATCAGCCACATAGTTAAAATTAAATGGCTGGGAATATCAAAGATAGGGCAATAATTAGTAGATCCTGTCTAGAGAACCCTAATTGGGATTGTACCTATAGGTCAGTCAGTAGTACCAACAAAATTAAAATTTCAAAAGGAAATTCACATGCAAATATATCGACAAACCCATAGTCAAAGTCTCAAACCAAGAAAAGATCTCACAAGGAGAAAAAAGAGCCCATAGGAAAACAGCAAATCTCATGTTGTTTGAAAAAACAGTTTATATGTACACTAGAAATCATGGTTTTGGGGAAAATATAGTCACTTCAATCAAACATTTTAACTAAGCTACTGGTGCTTGTCAGCAAAAAATACACGAAAGTCTCGACTAATCACACCTGGTCAAACGAAAATGTTGCCTACATCGCACCTCTATTTATTTCATTTCCTGAACGGCCGAGTCTCGACTCCACGAAAATCATCTAGGTGTCGACAAGCGTCCCATCTGATACTGTTTGATATAATGTCATGTGATCAAATTTTCATCTTCAGTCGCCAAATGTTCAAAAATAAAATATTTGCCATAATTTTAGTTTTGGGCCCTATCTATCCACAAAACCATATAATTGAAATATCTGATAAAAGGCAAAGGTCGGATTTGAAAACAGAAAACAATTCTAGCATAGCCTGATTTATTAATTTAGAATTTGTAGAGAGCCAATTAGTAAGAGGTATGAGAATTTGTGTTCAATTCTGGACAATAGTAGCTTCTTTTTATGCTTTTCCATGCAGTAGTCATGTAACGAATGCAAAAATTTTTATTTTCTTCAGCAGCATGAACAAAATAAGGGAAAGAATAAGGAAAAGGGCTACGAACCCCCATGAAAAGAACGACAGCCTGAAAGTGCGATATTACCTGAGCAGCATATGATCCACTTTCAGCAATAAACTTGACAAAATCCTTCTTTTTTATTTCGTAGTTGAACTTTTCACGGTCTAATAGTGCCTGCTCTCTCTGCATATCTTCCCATGCTCGCTCCCTCTTCCATTTTGTCTCCTTAAGTTGATTTTCAATTTCAAAATAGGTCGCTGGGAGACTCCTTTTCGGGTCACTGGGGAACTTGACATCTATATCCATCCTAACATGAGATAAAACCAAAATGGAAATAAGCAAGGGAAAAAAAGCAGAAGTGCACGCTTGTACATGAAAAACTTGGCGGATGATTACAATGACTAACATAAAGAGGGTGCAATTTCTAAGGAAAAACAAATGTAGATGAATTTCTTTAATTCGTCAAAACTTCTAGAATTTGCAATAGATAGACAAACAGGGGAAAAACAAATAAGGTTTGGAGCTTCAAACAAAAAAAACCCCAATCAATTTGTACTAAAAATGTGAATGATAAATATAACAAGAAATGTAATCTTCATAAAAAAAAAAATCAACGACTATGAATTTAGGTCAAGCTTCTTACTTATGATGACCCAAGGAGAACATCCCGGGACTTCTTATCAACCCTCCATCGAGAGATATGGCTCCATGTGCTATATAAGACCGAGCCTTTAGCATGTCAGCTCTTGATCTGTATACTTGCAAGTCCGAGAAAAGGTAATAGAATAGCGTCTCTCTCAGACTGTGTTTGTTTTTCCTGGTACAGTATAAGTAAGTGCCATCAATTGTCACCATATTTACAGCAAAACCAAGAAAGCCAGCAGGAGGCTCCCCACTAGTTGTTCTAGGTTTCAGAAGATCAAGCCTCCGTTGGGTGTCACCAGCTATTATCTGACCAGAATACGGTCTGAATAAGAAATTCCAGAAGAGAAAATATAAATTACTAAGGTAAGTTAGGTATATGAAGCTAACTGGTTGGCTTCAAAACAAAGAACTCAAGACCCACACACAAACGCACACCTCAAATTTTCAAGACAAATGACAAGGAATCGTTCATCCAAAGGCCGTCCAGCTAATGCAGCTAGAGCATGCACGCCAGAACCTTTATTAATCGAACCATCTTTGGTGTATCCCTCAAGAGCTTTGACTCCTTCATAGGTCTTGCAGACCACTGCTAACATGGTTTCCAAACCCAAATACTCTGATAGAAGCCTAAAATACAAATTAAAACAACAAAATACAGATAAGTGTGTTTTCGTCTGTTCTGTAGTTTTTCAAATACCATCCCTGCATATTTTAAAATCCACAATCTTTACTAGCAACGCAAAATATAAATTGTTTCAATGATCTTCAGAAACTTATACTTCTTACTCACCCATTTTTTATTTCTTTTCTTTTTCTTTCCTTTTTTTATAAAAATAAAAAAATAAAAACAAAAAGACTCCTCACTCATCGTGCATGACTTCACAACAAGATTGAGAAAGCAAGCCATATCTCGATGTCCAAGTCTAGGAAATATAATTCAACAGGATAAACTTTTACAGCAAAAAACCATACGTCCAAACACACGATGTTCGGCATTAGGTGCGTTGGAATGAAAAGGAAAGGTAAGACAAAACAGACCAACCTGCTAAGGTTAGCATCATCAACTTTGCCTAGTATAGCAACAACGCCAAGCACATCTTCAGTCGACGAGTGATCAGAGGCCTGAGCTTCACGGTTATATTTCATCTTACACAACATGGCTGCTGCAGAATTCTCGTACTTCAGGATTTGCTGAAGTACGTCTTCCTCACTCTCCATTGAGACAGGACCTTCATTTCCGCTTCCAGAGAAATTTCCAGTACGATACTTTCCAATAGCAACTGCATAGACAAGTAGGTTGGAAGACCACATGAAGATTAATCACTCAAAAAGCAAATACAATTACTATAAAGATTGAGAATTATATAGCAGCCATACAAGAGAGCTACACAGACGTAACATCCTTGCAACTTCATGAATTACCTAAGGATGGTTTATGAATATAAATGAGATACATCGTAAGCTCAGGATATAAAATCTTTTCAAGATTTTGGCCAATAATGAGGCTGTCATATAGGAATATGGAAATTCGGATACCTTGCATATCAAGGATCGACCCATCTAATCTATTCGTCAGACATTTGAAGTATTTGATATTGTCTTCATGGTGCTTAATTCTTTGACCAAGTTCCTGCAAGTCATCCTGAAGTTTCTGCAACAATTAAGTCAATTAATGTCAGTACTCAATCTATTCCCAAAACCATACTCAAACAAGTTACATAGGCAAGTTTTCTTTTCATTTGAAAACCAGGGCAAACAAACATCGAATACAATATTCATACGCATTAGACAAGAACTTGACTAGGGGATGAAAGACAAACCTGAGAGTGGTTTACCACTGAGGCAGGGGACTGAATATGGACTCCATTTTGTATCTCTTCCTTTATAAAGGGAGAATTTTGCCCATGGTGCCTTAATGCTGATGAGTCAGAGACAAAAAGTGCTCTAGATTGGATTGACATCTGGCATTGTAACATCACTAATCAGCCATAAATACCATTAACATACATGCAAGCACACTGCACATATACACACTTTATGTGTATCAGGAACATTCATGCAGACCAGTATATGCAATCTAAAAGTTTCTTCAGGAGGATAATATACAGACATGAAATGACATTTCATCAAATCTATAACGGTCCTCTGAAGATCATACAGTAGGGTGTGATTGAAAGCCATCTCATTTGAAATTGTTCGTCGACTTGAGAATTATTATTAGATTTTTGCAAAAGGTTTAAAAAATCACCCCATTCACTCGCTTTTTCACTCTCATCTTCCACCAATACGGTTAACTGAATTCTTTTTAAATAATCATCAACCATGGTTACAGATTCCCCACAAATTTCAATAATCATAACTCACTCATTCACATATCAATATTTTACTAGTTCTACATCTAATCAACTTCAGGCATTTTACTTGGATCATATATACTCACACTCCCAAAACATTTCATAATCTCTCCGAACATTCTCCGACCAACTGAAATTTCCCAAAACTAATTATATCCGATCACGCCCTAAGTTTTCACAAAGCTGAAAATATTACATGGCGCAAAAACCCATAAGAAGAGAAAGCCAAAAGGAAAAACTACTAACTGAAGTTAAAAAATATATAGATAACTCAAATTTCCCAACTACACAAATTTCTCACAATCCTCCATCTCCATTGATATTGCAACTTACACACAGGAGACCATAATTGGGAAAAAAAATAAAAAAAAAAAATCAAGCCAGCACTTATATCGACAAATCATAATTCAGAAACGTATCTAACATCCACATTTGGAATTTTTCCCAAATTCGATCCCCGGCTCGAAGCCTCAACGGATTTTCCACACAAACACATTTGCATGAATAGCATATAGAGCTCCCCTTATTTTCCACAACGCCTAAACAGCTTGGATAAACCTTGAACCTCGGTTCTTAGAGAAATAACGAAATTCAAATGAACTGACGCGAGTAAAAAATAAAATAAAATATGGAATCAAACCGGAGTTAGCTGCTGATTATCCATCAACATCCGTTGCTGATCGCCTCCGCCTGACATCACCGGCCGTCACGGTGGCGGTGGCGCTGCTGGGGAGCCTGAGAGTAGACAGTGAGCAAGTAAAGAGAAGCAATAAGAAAAAAGTACAACGATAGATTATTATTAAAATCAAATTGCCTTCTGAAAAAAGGTTGTATTTTAAGCCCAATTATACCCCTGCAGGTGATTTGAGCTCGACGGGTCGGTATAGGATCCATCCACATACTATGATGGGCCGGATACTGTTATTATCGGTCCATTTAAAAACAGAAAGAAGAGGCCCATTGCAAGTTCTGTTTTTAGATTATTTTAATTTTAAATAATTGAAGATTATAGTTTACTGCATTTTGTAACACTTTTCGGTTGAGCAATTTATATATTTATTAATAAAAAATAATAACTGAACAAAAAACAACAAAAAAGGAGGATACTGGACCAACATAAAAAACACGTATTCCGTGAATACGCTTTCTGTATATTTTAATCAAAAAACGTATTCACTAAATACGTTTTTCACATTTTTTTTATAAAGGAAAACGTATTCCGTGAATACGTTTTACAATTAAAATGTGCAGAAAACGTATTCACGGAATACGTGCTTTTCATTTATTTCCACCCACTTTTTTCTTTTTTTTTTCCACTACTTTTTTGTTTTTTTTTTCGGTAAAAAATTCCTTTTCGGTTTGTTATGATGTTTTTGAGTTCTTACAAGATTTAAATTTATTTTAATAGGTTTTCGGACAGTTACTTGAGATTCTGATCGAGAAATTTAGGGGGTGATTGGATATGAATTCAACTTGTAAAAAAATAGTTTTTTTTTTAATTATAATTAAGTTTGAAAAAAAGTAGTATGATTAGTTGTTAGTGGATATAATATTTAAATTAAAATAATTAAAGTTGATTTGATGTAAAAGTAGGAGAAAATGATTGGAAGTGATGATTAGTTAAAATTATGTGAATGGATGAATAGTGAATTAAATTTGATGTAATGTGTAAAAATGATTTAGTGGTATTATTTGACGATCTTGATAATATTGAGGATAGTAGAGTTGAGTTAAAGTTGAGTTAAATTTGAGTTTTGAGTGAGATATTTACTGCAAAATTGATATACAATCACGCCCTTAAAAGATTTGGACTTTGGAATTTTCACATTGGCTTGATTAATCTTTCGAATTTACGTAACATTATATTAAAATCGTGTGTTGAAAAAATAAAACTATTTTGAGCATTTAAAAAAAAAATATCAAATTTGTTTTTCAATATTTAGATTCACTACACATAATTACATCTAAAATGAATTTTCTTTTTCTTTTTGTTTTTGTATTATGGATGTGAGGTTACCTGAATTGTAAAAGTAATAAAATATTAGTTAATAAGATTGGTAGTTATAAATATATAAATGAATGAATAGTGTTTATATCGAAAAATATATAATAATATTTCCTTTTAGTTTTTGATTTGGATTAGTGAAATTGTACGGAAAAATTATTTTTATTAGTGGAAACTAGTACAACATCCGTGTATTACACGGGTGTCTACTATTTTTTTTAGAAAAAATTTAAAATTAATGAGAAAAATTGGTTGAAGATTTAAATACTTTTTTTTTTATAAAAAATATATATTATTATATATTTAGTATGACACTTGTTATTTATAAGATTTACATTTGTTATATTATAATATTTTTTAACTTATACTGTATAACTACATTAAACATAAATATATTAATTGAAAAATAATTTTACTTTTTTAATTGTTTTTAATAAATAATTTAATTATTATTATAAAGGTAAATATAATTTTATTAAGTTTATATATACAATGTGGATGTCAAATCGGAGCTCATCAAAAGATTATTAATTTGATATATTATATATGTAAAATCAATACAAAAATACAAAAGTTATCAACATTTAAAATATACTTACAATTAAATGGTTAAAATATTAAATTATTTTAAAATACAATTAATAATCTAAAATGATTATAAATAAATCAACATATTTATGGTAATCCAGACCTAATTAATTCAGAATTGAAATTAAATTAAAATATATCCAAGCCAAATAGTGAAGCATGGAATTTTGACACCTAGGATTCGAAGCATTTGAGCCTGCCACTTAGGCTCAGCATATTCGATAATTATATATAGGGGATGTATGGGATAAAGTGAGATGAGATTATGAGATGCATATAGTATTTTTTGATAAT